GTGTACTGAATTCCACATGTTTTCCAAATTGCCTGTGTGATTCCATTACAAAAATCATGCTCTCCATATGCCTCAAACACAGAAACAATATATTCTGTTTGTCTTGCTCACTTTCATTCTCCACACACGACTACAGAAAACAGTTTTAAGTGTAGCATATTTTCATAGCACCAGATGTAATCATGTTACAACTTTCATGAAATACCCCAAGCTCAGACAACATGGAAATTGGAGAGTGCAGCTTAGTGTTGTATGCCTTTAAATCTAATTATGGAATAACAGGGAGATGTGAGTTGCTATCACTGCTATTGTTCATCTCTATTATTCCACACAATGGCGGCTCTCCCATCGCAGATCAATAGGCCATTACAAGGCGTATCGTGCCGTACACGTGGGCTGCAGCATTCAATCTGACACTCACGGTGTCTCCTCTGTTTCTGCACATTCCTACTTATTGTATGTCACTTCATCATAGGTGATTATTACTTTACACAATGCTGGAAGCAGGAAGGAAAATATTCAGTTCTAATTTATGTCTGGTGTGTCTGAACTGAGCCATATCCAGAGTAGGGGATTATGGGAAATATGCGAAGCCAGTACAGATCTGTAGAATGGTCCCTCTGTGACTATATCTACAGAAGGCATTTTAAGGAAAATATCACAACATAATTCATGATACTGCATATAGGGAAGGTTTTCCTGTATAGTTTCAGTTATGTCCTCTTCTTGGCTTGTCAGAGGTCTGCACAACAAGAGGTAAACTGAGGACACAAAACATTCAATTTAATAAAAAGGGCCCGCCTGCCCAAAGCAATCATGACTGTCTGACTATCCCGACCTATGTACAATAACAGGGGTGTTGGAGGCACAACACAAATTGCTTTGTGCTAATAGGTCTTGGAGCATAACATGATCATATTAATCTCTTTTCTCAAGCATTTCATTCCTTTTCCTTGCTAGATATAAAAAAACAATAAGGTTGGTTGTGGAAGATAGGCTTGTTATGGTTACCGCAATCATCATATCCCTGAATCTCCACATCTCCCACAAAATACACATATAACATATGAAAGATTGTGTGTTCAATAGATTCAAAATGACACTGCATCTGAACCCTGGTTACCCCCCTGGATGCCAGAGGGACATAAATCCCTCCTCTTCAGCCCTCATTTGAAGTCAAATTGAATTCAACATACATCATGTACACAAATACACTTAACAGTTAAGAATTCTGCAGCAAATTTCCTGTTTCTTGGTTTCACTCAAACTGTCATATTCAGTAAGCAAAATTAACTGAAAATTAGGTACATCGTAATTTTTTTTTTTTTTTATATTACAAAATGTTGGTTTGACTTTGTGTGAAAATTCACCCATTAATCTTCACAGGTTGACTTAACTGACAGTTTGGTAGTGTACCAGAACAAGAGGTTGTAAAGGCACATTCTGGAATCAAGAAAGTAGGATAGCTCAGGGGTAGGAGTTTCTTCCCATCTGCAGAGTACCAGTAACGTCAATGACCTATCTTATCCAAGTACATCTTATTGCTTTCACATATGACGAAAACCCCATTCCCATACTACTTCACCAGGGACATAATATATACCCAGTGACTCCATGAATGGCTAACTCCAAAAAATTGCTGAAGATAACTTTTTCTACAATGAATATATTTTACTGTGCCAAAATATTTTATTAAAACCAGAATAGTCAATATGATTACAGATTGTTCTGGGTTTTCTTTTTTCCAAAATGCAGACCTTTAATGTAAGTTATCAAAATGTCATACTGCCTTGTATGTGAATAGCTAAGTTTGTGCCTTAATTCAAGCCAACACAGCCATCAAATAGAACAGATTGATTCCTATGTACATGTGTCCAAGAATAAATGCAATATTCTCTTTCCTTGCTGTCAGTTATACATGGTCTCCTTGATATTTCACCACAGAAAAGTGACATTCAGGATATAGTCCATAGGATGTATTTGCTGCGTCTTCTGTCTGTTAAGTTAGATGGACTAGTTTGCTACCTTGATTTTACCATGGCAGTAAGATTCTTAGTAGAGGCACATTTCAAGGCATAGTTAAATTGTGTAGCATTCCAGTCTCAAGGATCTGAAATTCTGTGTCAGGTATCAGGTAGATTCATTCTGAATAATTACCGGTACCCATTTTGGAAACAGCAAATGGAGGAGTTGCACAAGAGACAAGTACCAGAGATGCAGTGCATGATATTACATACTTACCCACTATGTTGGTGTATGTCAAATGATTATTCTGAGCAGGCCCACAATTCCCAGTACAGAGAAACTGATTGTCTCCAACATGACAAATCAGGCCCCGATTTCTCAAAACAAACTGTGTGAAGCCACTTTCTGGTGTCCCCCACCGTGATATTGCTGGAATATTGCTAAAAGCAGTGTAAAATCATACTCACTCACTCACTCACTCACTCGAAACAAACTTTTTTTTGCTCAAATTTCAAACCGAGTTTGACAATCTGAAAAAGTTGAATTTTTAACTCAACTAACTGCCTATTTTGAAATATAAAAGCCCAAACAACTTAAGTAATCTAACCACCAAACTCAAATTGTCTACTATGTTTGACTTTAGAAATCGATTTCAGTTCATTCTGGGAAATGCATTTTCTCATATTTTGAGTAAAAACTCCCAAACTCAGACTTCAGTTTGTTTGGAGAAATCATGGCCAGGTGTGTTATAACAGCAACAGATGTAGCTGAAGTCCACTGCGTAGTTCCAATGTCCATGGAAGGGTTTGGAAATGTTAAGAGGTGCCTGAACTACCAATAGGAAGCTGTCTGGCACCCTGGGCATGATCCCAGTCTGCCCAAGTCTGTGCCAATACTCAAGATTCCATAGGGCAAGTTTGCTAGGTTTTCTGACATCAGAAAATACAATGTGTGTTTAATAAGCAGTGGTATGATTCGTCATTGTGGTATCTTGAATCTGAGTATTTGTTTTCCTTCTCAAGTAGAGCTCGAAGGACCATGTGCTTTTAGGTAACAGTAGATAACACGTATATAGCCACAATGTTCACTAACACACTCATTCATAGAGATGATTTAGGTTACTTGGACATGGAGCTAACATAGCTGATGTAACCAGGGTTGAATGTAACAGAGGAACTATTACATGGGTTGAATGTAACAGATGTGATGTAACAGGGGTTGAATGTAACAGATGTGATGTAACGGGGTTGAATGTAACAGATGTGATGTAACAGGGGTTGAATGTAACAGATGTGATGTTACAGGGGTTGAATGTAACAGATGTGATGTAACAGGGTTGAATATAACGTTGAATGGGTTGAACCAACATGTGATGTTACAGGCATTGAATATAACAGATGTGATGTAACAGGGGTTGAATGTAACAGATGTGATGTAACAGGGTTGAATGTAACAGATGTGATGTAACAGGGGTTGAATGTAACAGATGTGATGTAACAGGGTTGAATATAACAGATGTGATGTTGATAAGAGATGTGATGTGATGGGTTGAATGTACCAGCGATGATGTTACAGGTATTGAATATAACAGATGTGATGTAACAGGGGTTGAATGTAACAGATGTGATGGGTTGAATGTAACAGATGTGATGTGATGGGTTGAATGTACCAGCGATGATGTTACAGGTATTGAATATAACAGATGTGATGTAACAGGGGTTGAATGTAACAGATGTGATGTAACAGGGGTTGAATGTAACAGATGTGATGTTACAGGGGTTGAATGTAACAGATGTGATGTAACAGGGGTTGAATATAACAGATGTGATGGGTTGAATGTAACAGATGTGATGTGATGGGTTGAAAGTACAGCAATGATGACAGGTATTGTATAACAGATGTGATGTAACAGGGGTTGAATGTAACAGATGTGATGGGTTGAATGTAACAGATGTGATGTGTAACAGGGTTGAATACCAGCGATATGTTACAGGTATTGAATGATGTGATGTAACAGGGGTTGAATGTAACAGATGTGATGTAACAGGGGTTGAATGTAACAGATGTGATGTAACAGGGGTTGAATATAACAGATGTGATGTAACAGGGGTGGAATATAACAGATGTGATGGGTTGAATATAACAGATGTGATGTGATGGGTTGAAAGTAACAGATGTGATGTTACAGGGGTTGAATGTAACAGATGTGATGTAACAGGGGTTGAATATAACAGATGTGATGGGTTGAATGTAACAGATGTGATGTGATGCGTTGAAAGTACCAGCGATGATGTTACAGGTATTGAATATAACAGATGTGATGTAACAGGGGTTGAATTTAACAGATGTGATGTAACAGGGGTTGATTGTACCAGTGGTGATGTTACAGGGATGTGAATCTGCCAACAGTGGTTTAATGTGGTTGAATGTAAGAGAGGCAATAATACAGGGTTGAATGTACCTAATGCAATGTATCAAGATTTAAATGTGATATATGGTGATGTTACATGAATTGAAGTTACCAGCTGTTATGTGCAGGGGGTTGTGTATACCAGAATCAATGTTATAGAGGTTGAGGTGCCAAAGGATATGTCATATGGGTACCATCCCAAAGACTGCAATGGAATTTATAGTACATGCACAAATACTTATGTAACAACTGTTGATTGACACTGCACACAGTGGGGCCTTTATGTTCAGTTGTTTCTTGTCCAGTACAAATATCAGTGTTGGTACAAGGGAGAATTAGTTACCATGACTAAAACAGCTGATGAATACAATGTGATCCTCATGAGAACTAAGCACACCGAATGTAAAACAAAACTGACGACACTGATTTTCCATCAATATACTAAATAATGGCATTTAGAAATTTCAAATGTTTCTTTTGTACCTGCTCCCTGTAACTCTGTGCCTTAGCAATGTTAATTGTGTACTGTTTTGTTTGTCTAGGCGGATGTGAGTCTGTTTCTCTGTAGTAATGATTCTGACCATGTAGTCCTTTTACACAGGATGATTTTGTTTGTTTGCAACAGAGGAAGACAGTGTCAGCAAGTTCTCTGGAGTGCTCTGGAAGTTGATGTGTTCCTACATTGTCCTTGGATTCATTGGCTTCCTGCTGATTGTGATCCTGCTAGACAGGATCGGGGCACGCATTGACACAGAATCTTCCGGATATCAGGTAAATATAAGTGCATGTGATTCTTCGACTTTGAATCTACAAACAAAGTATGGAGGATTCATGAATGTACATGTGTTTCTTTTCAGGATTCCTGTTGATAACTGATGGACACTTGTCATTGTGCCCTGATGGTGGGGTCAGTTCTGATGTTACTGGATTGCCTGATCCAGACTCAGTTATTTACAGGCTGCTGTGTTATTGCTATTTGTTTCCAAACACTGATGTTTTGAGTGTATTGAGCATCTGATTTTATGATGAGTAGCCACAAATCTGCATTGATGTACATGTATTTGATTATTTTTCCTCAAGAGACATTACTCAAATCAACTGATCATGTTATTGAGATGTTATGAATTGTGATTTTTTGGACTGGTTTCAGTCTGCTGTGAATTCGAAGGTGAAGTGCTCATCCATGTAAGGTTTCACATAGGAAGCACACACAAAAGCTACTCCACTTTGTTTTCTGTACAGAGTAATAAGGCTTAGGTAAGGGCTGAGGCAGAGCAATTCATCGCAGTGTAATGGTGGCCTTGGAATGTGGGAGGCATAGCTGGAGTGCTGGGGGGTCAGACATTATTGTCACTGATGTTGTTTGTGAGGAAGACAAGGAGAATTGCACAGCCCCAATAATGCAGACTGGCAGTGAAACAGACATCAGTCACAGCTAATACACAAATTGGAGAAACCTTGCTTTTGTCACAATGAAAACCTACACGTTGCTCTGGTTCGCCAAGACAACGGTAGAGATCCAGGGCTTATGTTGTAACAGGATAAAAACAGAGACAACCATCTTAGCTTACACTTAGATTTGCACAAGGTCCCAGTTACAGGGATGCTTGAGTACTTTAGCCTTGTCTCAGATTGGTTGATAGGATTGTGTACTAAAACAAACCAAGTGTTCACAAATAATGTTGAAAGAGCAATAGCCACCACCTGTGCTTAGTTAGGTTGTGAGTTAATGTCTAAATTGGAGTTAAAACTTTAGGTCAGTGAGTCCTTTTGCCAAATGCTAAACTTCAGATGTTCTTAATTGAACTGATAAAACAGAAAACTCAGTTACTACACCCAGACACCACACCCGTTAATTTGATGGATCATGTCTGTATAGGAAACTGACCCCACACCCAATAAGCTGATGCATCATGGCATTGTAGGAAACTGGTGCTATATCCTGGCAAGTTGAGGGATCATGGCATTGTAGGAAACTGATGGTACATTCAGATAAGTTGAGGGATCATGGTATTGTAGGAAACTGGCTACATCCTGACAAGTTGAGGGATCATGGCATTGTAGGAAACTGGTGCTATATCCTGGCAAGTTGAGGGATCATGGCATTGTAGGAAACTGATGGTACATTCAGATAAGTTGAGGGATCATGGTATTGTAGGAAACTGGCTACATCCTGACAAGTTGAGGGATCATGGCATTGTAGGAAACTGGTGGTACATTCAGATAAGTTGAGGGATCATGGCATAGTAGGAAACTGATGGTACATTCAGATAAGTTGAGGGATCATGGCATTGTAGGAAACTGGTGCTATATCCTGACAAGTTGAGGGATCATGGCATTGTAGGAAACTGATGGTACATTCAGATAAGTTGAGGGATCATGGTATTGTAGGAAACTGGCTAAATCCTGACAAGTTGAGGGATCATTGCATTGTAGGAAACTGATGGTACCTTCAGATAAATTTAGGGATCTTGGTATTGTAAATTATCGGATGCTACATTCATGTTATGTGGAAAACAGATTCAAAATTCATCTGCATTTCAATCTAGTAATTTACTCTCATGAAAAAATGTACAGTTCCCATTGGCCATCTGGATTCACTCAGTTTCCGATGTGGTTACAAAAATAGGCAACGTCACTGTCAGCTGACTGCACACACAATCTCATTGTTCCTTTATGCAAAACAAATTACCATGCTCAGCGTAATTTTGTGAGTGCTTGTGGCAGAAGTGAGTCAGATTTGCCAGATATTTATTTCTTCCTTTCCTTTCCCTCTGTTTCTGAAGCTCTACTATGTCTGCTGATGTGACAGAACAGAGCAGATGTACTCATGTCACACTTTGAAGTCTCGGACACACACACTGTGGGAAACACAGTTGGAGATCTGTATGAAAAAAGTACTGCTGGACAGTAAATCACCTTGATAGACAGTTTAGAATATAAATTAAGATAATTAATAAAAATTCCTGTCAGCATTGACATTCAAATACTTTCTAAATACCATGGTTTGATAAAAATGTGATGCTATCACGTAAAGGACAAATCATATGTGCCAAATTTCAGGACACTCAATATAACCATTTCCAGTGAGAAGAAAATCACAGAGCCAACTATGCCTTTTAAGAGAATTGAAGGGTATTGTCAAAACATGGTCAAACTTGTTGCTGAAGGACTAAAAACATATCTGTAAACACTGTCAACTAACTAAACAACCACCTCACTCCGGACCATATTCAAAATCTGTTTCAAACCTTGTGAACAAACTCAGTGGTCATGTAGAATGTGAAGTTTAGCCTTGTTTCTACAGTGGTTTCCAAAGAAATGGTTTTTTTAGTGTAAAGAAATAAGACAGGATAGAATTTAGAAACTGGTCAAAAGTTCAAATCATGCTAAAGTATTAAATGTTCAAGGGGAACATATGTATTGAGTCACACTACTAACTGCACATAACATTGCATTTCGTTACAGTATCAATGAACATGGCTTAGTAATGGCCAGAAGAAGTTTCAGCTTTTAGTTTGATTAAAGTACAAAGGTCAGATCAAGTGAAAAATATTAAGGTTTCACAAAAACTGGAATGCATAGGTTGTGCCACTTTACAAACTTTTTATGTAGTTTTAGAAATGAATGAATGAATGTCTATAAATAGGTTTTTCAATATGGCATATTGAAACTCAGATTCATGCTAATAATTTAATAGTCTGTTTATATTGCGCGTTTCTCCATGGATGCATGCTCCAATAGCTCAGACATATTACCCCTTGTCAATGAGTACAGATCACTCCCTGTGGAGAATACAACCGGTCGCCTGTCAGGCACTCAAGGTTCAAATTCAGACTACCATCGTATCATACCAGGTACCCAATTTTACTGCTGGGTGGACAATTTTGAGCAAACTCACTTGCCTTAGGTGAGACCACATGTATCACATGTGATTCGTTGTGGGGCAGGACTGGAGTCCAAGAAACTGTCAGAAGCTGCCAAACACAGTCACCCATACGATGACTTTCTGCGCCCAACGTTGCTTAACTTTAACTGATTGTGACCTGAGCTCTGCGCACAGGACCACACACCTTGAACAGACTGGCGTGTGGTTATTCATTGGCCAAGGATGTGCAGTTTCATCTTCATTGGTCCAATGGTTTCTGAGGAGTAGACATTGACAAGAAATGACACAACAGGCAACAACAGAAGTTGACTTGACTTTCAGTCAGGTGAGCTAAGAGTGAATGAGTTGATATTTTCACTGTTTTGAAATCATGAAGTGTCTGCTTGTTATGAAAGGGAAACCTCATTTGACTTTGTCATCATCAGTGCAAATGTTGATCTCTGTTTTAATTTCACAGTCCCTATGTACAAGCAGGGTATTGGGATTGTTTAGTACATCTGTTCCTTCCTTCTTCAAATCGGCAGTGACTGTAAATACAATAATTTGACAAATACTGATAAATTTGGAGCTATTTCAGTGTGGAGACACTGTAACAGTTGAGAGGCAGAATCAGCACCTGTCAAGGGTCAAAGTGTCATGGCTTCCAAAGTGATTTGGAGGGAGTTTGTCCTATATACTGTGTGACATTTAGATTTTCCATGCTCTACTGGTTGATATTCCTTTTATCTCAGATGGCTTTTTGGGAGTTTGTCCCATATACTAGGGGACATTCAAAGTGTCCATGCTCTTTGGATTGATATTCCCTTGTATCTAGGATGACTTGGAAGGCATTTGTTCTTTATAGTGGGTGACATTTAGAGTGTCCATGCTCTACTGGCTGATATTCCCTTGTATCTAGGATGACTTGGAGGGCATTTGTCCAATATACTGTGTGACATTTAGAATGCCTATGCTCTACTGGCTGATATTCCCTTGTATCTAGGATGACTTGGAGGGCATTTGTAATATATAGTGTGTGACATTTAGAGTGCCCATGCTCTACTGGCTGATATTCCCTTGTATCTAGGATGACTTGGAGGGCATTTGTCCAATATACTGTGTGACATTTAGAATGCCCATGCTCTACTGGCTGATATTCCCTTGTATCTAGGATGACTTGGTTTGTCCTATATATTGGGGAACATTTTGTTCTACCGGTTGATATTCCCTTGTATCAATATTTAATGGGAACCTTCAAACATCAACATCAGCTCCAGTGAACAATCAGATATTAACAACTGTGCAGAAAAGCTAACATGACTGGGACCAGCCTCTAAAGTAGTCATATAGAGTGTTTATCGAGGAGAAATTCTCTTTTTCTTTCAAACTTCTGATGTGTCATTAGGCTGAAGATGGATCCAATTGATTTTCTTGTTTCTCCACAAATGTTTATTCAAAAGTTTAATTGCAGTGCAGCCTAGTCAGTTTTAAGTTCTTTATGTGTGATATGGGGAAATAATTTCATTCCCCAGTGCAGATGTACTGCAGTTGCAAGGAATGTTGATGTGTGACTTTCTTCTTGAACCCAATACACATTTAACTGGCATCAGGTTACCAGGGTAAGTGCTTTCTTGTGTACTAAAGTTAGGAGCTTGATCGATCACATTATTTTCATTGTCATGATTCATATCAATTTCAGTAAGTATATGTCATCACAATAACTCTTGGCTTGACTATTTAAGAAAATTCTATCAATGTGTTCTTTATCACTAGACCACTATTATACACATAACATGGATTGACTATAGTTTGGAAGTGTCTATTGCTTAAAAAGTTCTCATCTCCATCCATTGAAGTTTATATTTGGTGATTGAGTCCTTCTACCCACATGTGTTTGGCCTTG